GCAATTGTTGCTTTGAAGTTCAATTGCTGTTAATATTGCTATTTTACATAATCCTTTTGTTTTTAACTTTATCTTTGTTGTTGTTTTTGCTTTAGTTTACTGTTCTTATAAACTACTCCAAATTTTAGAAAAGCATCATCAGCCGTTTTGCAAAGAAGTGGTGGCACTTGATTATGAAGCTACTGAAAGATCAGTCAATGCTAATACCAAGAGTTTAGGTAAAGGGACCCCTGCCCGTTAGGTCCAGTCGCAGACGACTCTGGGGTTGCGGTGCTCATCTCGCTTTACTGGCCGAGGGAGCTGGTGTACAGCTTCCGGGTCACGTGGCCAGCGTGACTAAGCCGCTTCTGGCGAACCAGAGCAGAGCACGGAAACGCTGTTTACCTTCCCGCTGGAGCGGTAGCTATTTATCTACTTGCACTTTGACATGCATTTGAACTGCTAGGTTGACAGGAGCAGGGACTGAACAACAGGAGCTCACCCCGTTGTGGGGATTCGAACCGCCAACCTTCTGATTGGCAAGCCCTAGGCTCAGTGGTTTAGACCACAGCGCCACCAGCATCCCAATACCAAGAGTTTACTATGTAGTGATTAAAGTAGATTACCTCCCCCGCTCCTGGAATGCTCATATTATACTCTAAGTTCAGTATTGAATGTTGATGAAATATTTTGCTGATGCTCCATGTTTGGTGAGAACCCCATCTGTCTTTGCTCACTTCCATCACAGCTGCTAGACCAAAGAGGCACAGCCAAGTTGGCTTGTCGGAAGCTGGCATGGCTCTAGAAGAGCTAAAAGAAGCTTCAAAAGCAACCCAATATAAAGTCACTGATAATTCATCCTTTCTCTTGGCTGCCTTCTCTGTAAGCACTTCTCTATTTCTGACACTGTGTAAGAGTCAGATTATACAATCAGCGGAATCACAGTAAAGCCTTCCTGAACTGTACCACCAAAAAAAAAAAAAAAAAAGCATCCTGCTCTTCACACAGAAACATAGCATGTCAGGGGAAATGCCACTGCTGAACTCATCTCCTTGACATGCTGTTTTTCTGTGGACAAGTTTCATTCGTGCAGGGATGTGGTATTAAAACACACAAATCCTGTGCGTGCAACCCCAAAAGGGTGGCCCAGTGTGTTGCTACCTGGTGCTGCTGATAGTATAATCCAGGTTTTCAACCTTTTTGAGTCCACGGCTCCCTTGACCAACTACATTCTTTCTGCGGGACCCCCGTGGGGCTCAGGAGCCCAGTTATGTCACCCCTTGCCTGCAGAGCTGGCAGCCCCTCACTCTTTTCCGAACACCCTCCCTTGTGGAGTGTACCCTCAGCCTCCTCTCCTCTCCCCTCTCCTTGGGAGTCCTCCGGGCAGCCGCTGCGGCCACCCCAGATCTCTGAACTGCCCCCACCCCTACCCCAAAGAGAGGTGCCTTCTCACACTGCCCACAGGGGCCGAGGACATGTCTGTCCATTCCCAAAAGCAAGGGCTGGCAGACTGGCTGGCTGGGCTCCCTTGCCCACTTACTCCAAGGCGCCTCAGCTCCTGGCAACCAGCACCCACTGGCCAGCCCCAGGGGCACCATTCGCCTGCGGACCTTGTAGCCAGGAAAGAGACGCAAGAGGACATCAAAAGGGGGAGGGGAGGAAAGAGGGACAGAGGCCAATGTTGCCTTTGGCACCCCTGACCATCATTCAAGGCACCCCAGGGTGCCATGGCACACTGGTTGAAACCACTGGTATAATCAACTGGTTCCAACTTGTGTTTAAAGGGAGGTCTGCTTAGTCTAGCAGCTCAAGCTTTGTGATGTTTGATGCAGAAGATACTTTTTTCTTTTGCAAGAAGCAGTCTAACAGGTTAAATTTACTAAAGATTATGCATACCTTAACTTGCAGGGGTGCAGAGGAATGTATTTTGACTCGATGTAGCACGCCTGACATTATGCAAACCTTATCTTAATGACATCATTTAGGACACCTCAGCGAAGCACATTAACTTCTGTAACTTGAGCAGACGAGGAAAGCAAACATGAACGAGGCAAACTAATGCCTCAAAAAAAGGAGCGAACTTATCGGAGTAGCTGAAAAGACTCAGCCTAATACATTAACATGCTCAATAGTTTTTCTCTTCAAGCCTACTCAAAGAAGAGAAATAACCCCAAAGCATAACACTGTGAGACTTCCTATTACTGTATATACACTATCCATCAGACTTGTGGTTCTGCAGTAAGTCAGACCCCTGCTAGTTTAAGGCAGGCGACTCTCTGCATACGTGACTCACAGCCAAAACAAGCACCTCCTTTTTCCTGCGTTTAAGGCCTACTGGACTAATCAGAGACTGAGAGGAGAAGAAAAACAAGGTAAGTTTCAAAACAAACCCCTCCTGTCAGCCATTTCCCATTGTGCTAATAATTTCCAGAGTGGCACCAGCCAACAAAAGAATGTTGGGTGGGGCCGTGGAAAATGCCAGGCTTCCATAGGAAGCCCTGCTTTTGGTCAGCAACAGGCTCTGGAATAATAAGGCTCACGTTCTCACAGGCCTCTTTTGTCAAGGAAGTCTACACACCCTTTGTAACTCTGTGGGGTAATGCTGGCTGTAAAACGTTGGCACCACAAAGGCCCAAGCTCCCCTGAACACATGCCTTGACAATGTTTATCTGATCATTCAATAATCTCAACATATGTTGTGGAATGTTCCAAAATGGAAATTACCACCCATAAAGAAAAAGAAAGAAAGAAAACACAGGAGGAACTCAAATCTGTGTGGATGCTTTTTCATATGTGATTGTGGTGCATGCTTTGTTATGGAGCACTTTTACGCACAAAAAATGGATGTGTATTCCAGTTACCTTTGCTTCTTGTTCTAATCCTTGCAGCAGCCACTTGTGGAAGAATGGGATTACCAAGAATGGGAGCATAAATTTGCCCACTGATAATGGCCTACTGCCAATTAAACAGGCTTAGTTCTACTGCTTGAGAGCCAAGATAGGTTTAACAGGGCAGCCATCTTTCCTGTTCACATATAAAGTACTGTAATTTGAGGTGGGGGGGTTGATAGGAGGTGACTGGTACTTAGAAGAGGCAGTATATGGCCCCTGAGGCCTCTGTTTGCTGGTCCCTAATCTAAACACAGGGTGAGCCACCCCAATGGCTAGTCCACCATAAGCACACTGGCCTTACTGATTTTTCCTCAGATTCAACCATGAAGCTCACTGGATGCCATCAGGTGCTTCAGGATTAATTCACCTTGTAGCATCATGTCCCATCCTGCCCCCTCCCCCAGTTCTCACATGTGCACATATAGAGTGCATATGCACACACAGGACACAGACCAGCTGAAGAGCAAGGTTATTACCAACTCCACACTTACCGAATGATCAATCTCATGACCAAGGAGAGGGCAGATTACGTCCCCATTAGTGTTCTGGACTGGAAAGAGAGGTTTACACCTCTCCCATTACTCCAGGCCTGTGTCTATTTTAATTTGTTTTATTAGTGTGCAGAGGTTAGCTCACTGCTCTATAGGACAGGTTATCCCCCATGCAGGAGACCTGAAAACAGTATGAGTACAATCTAGCCAAGTTTTACCCCATTTATTTCAATGGAAGAATTAAAGCTGTTTCTGCCGTTGAAATCAATGGGGCTAAAAATGCTTGACTTTGAATGGATCACTCCCTTTCTCCTGGAGACCTAGGTAGGTATAAAAAAGAGAGAAGGTAAACTATAATTATAATTTTTGCACATCGGCAACACTGTTCTGCAATTATAATGGTAAATCTCAAGCTGTATGTACCTATTATATGCAAGCAAGCTGCGTAATAGACAGCCACAATGCTGTGTTTCAGTTCCCACTGACTACTTTTTTGCTGTCTATTGCAATTAGAGGGTGTTTCAGTGCTGTAAGCATGAAGTGTTATTGGTTGTGAAATTATTCACAACTGCAACATGCAGAAACATTGATACAACCCTGAATGATATATAACATGCATATGAAGAAACATTCCTTGCTACCCTGATTGTACCATCTGTATGTTTTGTAGTTTGGGGGTATTTGAGTTTGGTTTTCTTTGACTGCAATTGATATTGTGTGGGAGCTCTCGGAAGATTGAAAGTTTTCAGCCAACTCCTTGCCCCTCAAACGCAGGCATAATTTCTCACTGATTTGCTCTCAAATATTATGTCATGGTGCGTAATCATTTACAGTATTCTCATTTGTAGGGGGACTCAGTGCTGGTGAAAAGAGCCCGAGTTCCCAGCACTCTTTATTTTTTCAAATACCTTCTCCTTAATTTTCAAGCCAACATGTATCATATGTAAGCTCTCCCACTCCCTGGGTCCTGTCAGTACCAACAAGGATTTTTGTGATAACAGATTGCTGCCAAACAGCTAATGAGCTCATTCAGTGTGCAACTCTGAAAAAATCATCAAATTGTCACTGTGTTGAAAATGTGTGGGCTTGCCATATACCAAGGCCCTTTCTAGCAGTGGCTCTCTCTCCCCCGCCCCCGGCTCTGATCCCCGTTTTTGGTTTAAATAGTGATGTCAGGGATCAAACCTAGGAATATACAACACGTGTCCATTATTGTCATTGCTACTGAGCAGAGTTAGATGTAAACCAGGAAACCCTCAGGCTTCACACAAGACAATATTATTTCTAGCAGTGGCACTGTCAGGAAAGTGCTTTCACTATGGAGCTGAGACTGGCAGGGCAGGGCACCAATTGGCTCTGTGTTTCTGATGTCACCAAGATACCTTCTAGACTAGAGAACTGCCAGAGAAGTTTTATACTTTTTTGTGAATAAGAAGACCAATTACCAGAGAAATGCATTGGCTATAAAAAGTCATGCTTTCAAAATTGTAAAAATAAACTAGGCAGGCAGCCCACCTGAAGCATGAGGAGGAACAAGACAGGTTGCTCAGCCAGCATTCAGTTTCTTGGTGCACATATCTGTCATTTCAGTAGTGAAGCCTGGAGGAAGCCAGGCTCATCCCAAATCTAAGGGACACACGGTGATATTTGGGCCATAGATCCGTGGTAGAGCATCTGCCTTACATACAGAAGGTTCCAGGTTCAATTCCTGGAATCTCCAGGTTGGGCTGAGAGAGACTTCCTGCCTCTAATCCTGGAGAGCTTCTGCCAGTCAGTGTAAGCAACACTGAGCTAGATGGACCACTGGTCAGACTGCCTGTGCCTTACTATTTCCCCAAAACGACTGCCTCTAATGCCACTGGGCTCCACTCACAGCCTGGGTTACATATGTATGAAACAGCTGTACAATCGTACCTTGGATCCCGAATGCCTTGGAACTTGGATGTTTTTGCTCCCAAACGCTGCAAACCCAGAAGTGTGTGATGGCCTGGGATTCCGATTCGGAGGATGAAACAGAGGAATCCCGGCCTGCACAGGAGTCCCCGCCTCCAGGGCCGGCTGAACTGGGGCAAGGCCTTGATGCTGAAGAGCCTGCACCTGTGGCAGTGCATCAGGAGCTGGCCCCAGGTGAAGCCCTTCGGGCCCCAGAGGGGCTTGATGACTCAGTGGCCACAGGTGAGCCTCCTCCAGGGCCCAGTAACCCTTCGGCCTCTCCTGATCTGCAGAGGCTTAGGGCAGAGAGGCGAAGGGAACTGGTTGCCCCCAGGAGGAGTGCTCGCCTTAAGGCCAGAGGAGGCGGGGCTCCTGGGGACCGGGACCGCCCCTGGCCTTAGAAG